GTTAGGGGCATAAAAAACATTTTATTCTAAGTTGGCTGAAAAAACTAACTTAGAGGTTGGTTGGATTAAACCAACACCTCTCCTAAGCCCAGGATAAGGATCCAGGCTACAGGATGTTTGGTCGGAATAACCAAACATAATATTCTAAGTTGGTTGAAAAAACTAACTTAGAGGTTGACTGGATTAAACCAACACCCCTCTTAAGCCCATGATAAGGATCCAGGGTGCAGGACGTTTGGTCGGAATAACCAAACATTTTATTCTAAGTTGGCTGGAAAAACTAAACTTAGAGGTTGGCTGGATTAAACCAACTTTTGTTACTCTTCAGTCGAAGTAAGGGTATGGCTAAAGAGTGGTTGGCTGGATTAAACCAACTCTTATTACTCTTCAGCCGAAGTAAGGTTATGGGCTGAAGAAGTGGTTGGCTGGATTAAACCAACTTTTGTTACTCTTCAGCCGAAGTAAGGGCATGGCTGAAGAGTGGTTGGCTGGATTAAACCAACTCATATTACTCTTCAGCCGAAGTAAGGTTATGGGCTGAAGAAGTGGTTGGCTGGATTAAACCAACTTTTGTTACTCTTCAGTCGAAGTAAGGGTATGACTGAAGAGTGGTTGGCTGGATTAAACCAACGCTTATTACTCTTCAGCCGAAGTAAGGGTTTGGGCTGAAGAAGTGGTTGGCGGGATTAAACCAACTCTTTGTACTCTTCAGCCGTAGTATTTATATCAGCTAAAGAGTGGTTGGCAAGTCAGCCTAGTCAGATTGATAAGCTAGGATCGGAATAAAGTATTTAAACCGGAATAACAGTTGGTGCAAAAGAAGATGATTCTCATTAATCAAGTTCAAAGCGATTACAAAGGAGGGGCTCCCAGCCCTGTTACAAGTCGAAGCAAAAAGAAGAAAAAGAAAAAATACAGAATCAATTAAAAAGGTCTTCAAGATCAGCTTCAATATCAACTTGAACACCGGTTGCAGATGGAAGATCAGTCTCAGTAGCAACTGGCAGCACGGTGTCAGTCGGCGGCTTAACAGTTAGGTCTTCAACTGTTGGCTCCAACCGAGTTGATTGATCGTTGCCTTGCTCGTTGACTACCGGAGTAATAGTTGGCTAATTTTCTTCATCTTTATTATCTGAACCCTACAAAAATTGTTGTTAGACAGAAGCAGCATACTCCGCTAGTGAGGCCGGAATGAAATACTGAGAAGCATTGTAGACCTCGGTTTCAGGCCCCGCAGCCGAGCTGCTCCACAACACTTCTCCAGCCGCACTTGAAAAATAAGTCCTTCACTGCCTCACATTGTGGAATGTAGAGGCCCTCCGCCTCCTTGAAACCTTCGGCGTTGACACCATCCACCTTCTTCTTCAGTTCAGCGATTTCAGCGTCCTTTTTCCCTTCGAGCTTGACTAGCTCACGAAGGCACTTGTCTTTCATCATGGTTAACGCCTTCTGTTTGTCAACTTCAGCCGAGGTAACTAGTCCGGTTGGACGAGCTACCTCAGCCTCTAGCTCGGTCATTTTTTGTTGTGATTCCTTCAGTTCGGTTGTTTTTTCTTCCACCTCTGCCATGGCCTGCCTAGCCGTTTTCCTAAGCTCCAATACCTTTTGATGGGCAATTTGGCTCTTCTGAAAAGACTGAAATGAATGGAAAGAAATCAATGACAAAACCGAACTGAAAGTTTGAAAAATTTGAGAGACAAGAGGGGTATCTTACCAGGATCATGGATTTGGTGGCCGATCGGATGGCCCTTAGCTCAGTCAGGTGCTGGTGATGTTCCATGTCTGCTGGAAGGCAAACACTCTTGGCAAGGTTGAATGCCATCAAGTGATCCTTCTCAGCAACCACCGAATCGGTATCTTGGATATCTCGGTTCTGAAATTTTAGCTTTGGTGCCCACTTGGAAGAGCCAGCCCGGTCAGAAGGCTCCGGTTGTGGAATCGGTGGGTGGCTCGGTGGAAGGGTGGTTTCGTCCTCATCCGCTAGATGCTGCTCGGTTAGGGTAGTCCAGGCGTGCTTGGATGGGTGTGATGAAGAAGGCTGTTGAGGAGGAAGGGCCACGACGGTCTGTTGTGTTTGGCTTGGTGGCGGTACTTCGGGTCTGTTGGTTTCGGTCAAGAGGGCCCTGACTCTGTTTCTCTTGGCGATTTCTTGTTCGGCTGTGAGAGGGACCAGGTTAATTTGGGGCAAAGTTGGGTCCGGTTTTGGGGCGTCCTCAAGCAGAAAGTCTGTTACTCTAGCTTTTCGGCGACCGCTGTAACGGTATGTTGGCTCAAAATTAAGAAGTTTGGCCCAACTTCTTTCTGGAAAACGTAGTGCGGCACGAAGTGTGTTCAGGTTGGGGTAACTATACAAAGATCGAAGATGGACTGAATCTGCATAATGAAAACAATTATTAGTTCGGTTCAAGAGTAGGTAAGCGAAATAAAAGAGAAGCATGAAAAGTGACCGAAGTAAAGTATACCAGGGATTCCTTTATTCCAATTTATACTTTGGCCTAGGATTTGGGCTTGGTGGTCTTCAAAATTCCCAGATACCCAAAAAAAATCGTCATCGTTTAAGTCTTTATCCGGCGTATCTTTTATTATTTTTTCTCTGCGACAGCGTATCCTAAGGTAGTAGACCCAGCCGTCATCTTTGGAGCCAATGGAGTATTGGTGGAATATTTCAGCTAGACCGAGGTTAAGACCGGCTCGGCAGTTTAGTTCGGCTATTCCCATTATTATACAGTAAGAATTGGTGGAAAGCTGAGTTGGGCATATTCTGGTTTGTCTTAGGAATTCACAAATCAAGGGTTGAACGGGGAATCTTAGTCCGGTTTTTATTATTGATAGGAGGGTGAAAGGTACACAACCCTCTTTTCCCCATGGAACGATATCTTGTTCGGCCAGAATGAGTTGGACGTCGTCAAGGATGTTGTAATCCTTTCGGAATTCGGCCAGGCCACCAGGGGTTTCTACCAAAAACCTATACTTCCCCATTTATTTTTTAAGTTATGGATAAATTAGTTCGGTCACAAAATTGTGCTCAGTAGCTCGGTTGAGCGCGCAGTGGAGTGCCTGGGCAACCTAAGTCTGCAAAGTGGAAAACAAAGGGGTTAAGCACAGATCATTGAACCATGCTATAAAATAAAAGCAAGAATAGGAGTCCTACTTCGGCTATGTGGGATGCTACAGGTTCTGTCTCGGTTTCAACAAGATGCTTGGTAGCTCGGATTGAGCAGGGGGTTCGATAGCTCGGTCTTGGCGAGCGATTCGTTATCTCGGTTAAAGAGAAGGCTCTGTTAGACCGGTCGAGCCTCTAGGGGTAGCTTTCTGAATTTGGTCTAAAAACTTAGAAAGCTGGCTTAGCCCCAAAGACCTAGCTCGGTCGAAAGTTAAGGTTTCCAGTATGCTAAGTTCAGACTTAGTTCGGTTCGTTTATCCCGGCTAAGGTAAATCAGAGGATGGTTTGACTTATTGAAATTGCTAGTATGAGTATGAAGTGCTAGCTCGGTCGTATAGTTAGATTAGTCTGGTATCAACTACAAACTACTTTTTAGTTCAGTTATATTGTAATTTTGGATCAAACACAGTGTTCTATAGACTACTTCATGAAGTTCAAGTGGTTCTTAAAAGGTTTTTTTTTTCAGAAAAATGCAGAAACTAGCAGGAAAAAGTGTTTTTCAAACATAGTATGCTATGTATTAAACAAAAGCAGAAACAAAAATAGAGAAACAGATTTATGATGCTTACCAGGTCCAGAGGCACAAGAAGATGAAAATGGAAGTAACAACAATAGCAAGAACACGCAGCTTCTTCGAAATACAAAAAAACAATAAGAGCTTAGAAGAGAGAGAAGAGCTTGAAATAGTAAAATGATTGATGAGGGTGATTCAAAGGACGAAAGTGTTGTTTTGGGATATAGGAAGGACAAAAACACGCGGGACTGTTCAAATTTTACAGAGTACGAGGGCGGCGCGATAGCTGCAGTAAGCCAATACCAGCGTGCCACGTGTCATAGGGATGAGAATCGATTCAGTTTCTGTGATTGAAGGGACGTTGTGACCGGACAAGCACAACTCGGCTTAAGTTTAGCTCGGCTGGAAGGGTTAAAAGTATATAGCTCGACTTTAAAGGCTTCAAAGTTTTAGCTCGGCTGGAAAGGCTAAAGGGTTTTTTAGCTCGGCTGAAAAGGTAAAACTTTAGCCCGATTTATAGATAGGTAATCCCTATCATGCTACCCAGATGGAATTAAGGGGCAATTGAGAGGGTAATTTATATGCGAATTGGGCCGAGCTGGGCCTTTATGGGCCTCAGTACGAAGGGCTGAGTAAAGAGGTCATAAAGTTACTCCGGTCTTGAAGAGGCTTAAAGTTAGCCAGGTCTCAAGCCCAGAAGGTAGACCGGTCCGAGGGACTCTTGATGTTAGTCCGGTTGAAGGACGCTTTGTAGTTAGACCGGTTTAAGGATGCTTTGAACTTATACCGGTCATGGCAAAGTGAAACTAGATTGGTCTAAACCTTGATAAAAGATAGTTCGGTTTTGGGCATACATGGTTTGTAGAAAACTATGGGCAGAGAACCGAACTAGGTATAGTTCGGCTAAGCATAGTCGTGCTTACTTCGGTCGTATGGTAGGCCGGCCATGGAAGAACCATCTCACTTGGTTTAAGCAGTGAGGGGGGGGGGTTGAAGGATAAGCATTATCCTTCAGGAGTATGAATCCTAGGAGGACTCTGCATGGAGGAGTAAAAGTCCTACTAGGATTGTGCCACACAAAACCTATAAAAGCTCACAAACATCACCTATGGAGAGGTAACACAACTTTGATTCCCGAATACACAGAGCTTCTTGTCTATTTGTCTATTTTTCTGACTTAGGCATTGGAGGGGTTCCCAGCACACACCCGCCGGCAAGCTCACGTTTGTGTTTTCAGGGAGTAAAGCAACGTCGTACGGAGGAGCGCAGACTTGATCAACAGGATTATACAAGAAGGTTTATTTCTTTCCCGTACACCATTGATCAATTATATCATTAAAAAAACTTGATTAAAAAAATTGTATGATTTAAGGTTTCCTTCTGAGAAGTTAATTTAAATCTCCAAACAACAACCAAACTGGACATGGGTTGAGTATTCATGTGGTGCTCTAATTTTTGTCCACGTATAATTCTTTAAATCCATCTCATAAACTTTGTAGGGTTCACCTAATTCAGAAGAACCAAACACTAACAACTTGGTTTGCCATACTGTCATGTAAGCCACATTGCACACCTCAGCTGATAGTCTAGCTAAGACTCGCCAAGTAGTATCCATACGAGTCATCACATTACCTTCATGACACATGTATAATCCTGAATCGCCACTGTGGACACATGTCCGTGGACAAATGGCATCTTCTAAGAAGTCATTTTCGATCCAGTCCCATTGCCAAGTAATATCAAATACTTTAATATCACTTTCAAAACAGCAATATTAGGTATCATGAAAAATATTTCATAAAAATAATCATGAAAATTTTGTGACTCTTGAATTACACTTAGAATAAAGCACCACACACTAATTAAGATAATCCAAAAATTATAAATTTTTTATAATCATTTCCGTGAAAAGATTTTCATGACCCTAACTTTTCCCCCTTCCAAATGACCTTGCATTTCTGTAGGGTATCCACTGATGACGTGGAACTTGCCATCGAAGAACACACCCTTACACTCGCCTCGCTCTTTTTTCATGTCAAGAAGCTTGATCCATTCATCTTTAGCCACGTCATATGACAAGGCAGATTTCAGTGCATTTTTCTTTTTATCATGACCACCCGCAACATACACCATCCGATCAAAATCTGAGGCAGATCCAAAGAATAATCTTCCGCCACCTGGCATATCTGTCCCATGCCGCCAGATGCCAGAAACAAAGTTGTAAATAAACACTGAATCCGATACCTGCCAAGTCACCGGGTCACACCCGCCTATCAATACCAGCTCATCCAAGCGTACAGACAGATAAGCCCGATTCAGCGAGGGCTGCTCAACTCGCTTCTACCCGGATTCATGCTGAACTTCTCCCAAACTAGTTTTCTCCTCTCCTTTCCTCTTTTCTTCAACTCCAAACCCCTAAACAAAGTGTTTTGAAGGATTTTCCTCTCTTCTTGCCGAAGAAACTGATTCTTTGCCCTGCACATCTCTCAACACCGAGCAAACCATCAGTGGTGCCCAAGTCTTAAGGGCGGTCAAAAATGGGGTGTCTACACTTACTTGCTGATGTCTTGTTCTTAGCCGAGATCATTACTCGCCAGAGTGCCCATGCCATCTTGCTTGTTGAACACACTTTGTCATAGTCTTGTCTTTTCACTCAGCCACCTTTTGAGGAGAACCAACCCGGTAGTGCCACGTGTTCCAGCTGAGTGTTAAGTTAGCCGACAGACCCAGAAAATATACATTTTCGTGTTGCATCTTTGCCTTGTAGAGAGAGAGGCTCTAGGAAGAAGAAGAAGTCTTAGATTGAGAGAGTAGACTTTCGAGCTTGATTTCTAGAGATTAAACCGTTAGATTCGTGTATTGAGGTTAGATTCTTGATTCACTCTTGTCATTCTTATTAATCATCCAGCTGCATTGCACGATCGAACCTGTTCTGCATGTCATCCGTCGATTTAAATTTGGTCTAGAAAGAGAAAATAGTGTTCATGTGCTCTTGAAGAAAAAGTCTTGTTTGATCTGAAAGTTTACATTAAGATCCATGTTTTCGTGTTTGTCCTCACAAGATCCATGAATATGGGTACCCAGGTCCGTGTTTTTGAACTCATAGCATGAAATCTCAGATTTTGTAATAGCAAATCACGATCTTTGCATTCATCCTCCTCATGTTCATGTTCTTTATGTTCATCATGTTCTTCAAGAAAGGGAAGCCCAGATTTTTCCCGACCTCATTCCCTTGAATGTGGCCATCGAGGCAACACCTCGGCAAGCAGGTGTGGAACCTCGGCAAGGAGGTGTGGGACCTCGGCCTAGACCTGGCAGTTGCCCAGCATGTTTTCTCGAGATAAAGAACTGTGTTTGTTTTTATTTGACTTAGTCTTGAGAAACGCCGAGATCATCTGCATGCATGTGAAACTTGTTTGAAAGCGCATTCAACAGACTTTGCCATGTGTTTGTAGGGTTTGGACTTGCCTTGACCCCGACGTTTGAAGAACTAAGTGAGTGGTATTTTTAATAAAGCTATGTTATAATGCTTTGATAAAAGTCCTGTTTTGCTTCGTTTTGGAAAGTATTTGTAAGCATGAATTGTTATTCCTAATTGGAATATATATATATATATATATATATGTATATCTCGTTTTGATGACATCTTGGAAAGTCCGTACGTGCTAAGGGACTATAAGCATTTGTAGCACAAAGTTTGGAAGTCCGTACGTGCTAAGGGACTATAAGCATTTGTAGCACAAAGTTTGGAAGTCCGTATGTGGGGTGGAAATGGGCTAAAAAGGAAAATTCATTTGGTGAAATGGTTAGATATAACCAAGAGTGTTGCCCAAGGGGGCCTGGGCATCAGGAGAATCAGGGATGTTAATGCTTGCTTGCTTCTTAAATGGTGGTGGAAATTTGGCACTCAAACTGATGCACTTTGGAGGAGAATCATTTGTAGTAAATACAAGATCGAGGTAAATTGTTGGCATCTCCTATGATATCTTCTTACAAACTCTCTAGGGTGTGGAGGGACATTCTCTTCATTGGGGATCATAGTACTAATATCTTTAACTTTTTCCTACTAAGTTGCCAAATCAAGGTGGGGGATGGCTGTAAAATCAGATTTTGGTACGAGAAGTGGTGTGGAGCCACTTGCCTCAAGGATAAGTTTCCCTCACTTTTCAACCTTTTTATTGATAAGAAAGGTTCTCTTCAACAATAGTTTGTAAGGAAAACCAATGATACAGATTGGAACTTCAACTTCAGAAGAGCCTTGTATGCTTGGGAACTGTCTGATGAATCTAGACTGCTTAGCATGTTGGCCTCTGCTCCCTCTTTAAGCGCTAGGTGTATTGATAGTTTGGTCTGGAACTCTGCTACTGCTGGTTCAGGTCCTTTCTTTGCCTCTTCTCTTTATTCCTTTAACACCTCTCTCCTGGGGCCTAATCTTACCATAACCAAATTTATTTGGTGCAACTCCTTACCTCCCAAAGTCCTTTTCTTTGGATGGCTAGCCTGGAAAAATAGAGTTAAAACTGCAGTGTTCCTTCACAACCTTGGCATCCTTGGTTCTAATGCATCAACCTCTTGCATTTTCTGCAAATCTGCTCTTGAATCTGCCAATCATGCTTTGTTTCATTGCTGTCACGACCCAAACCCGGCCCTATGGGTTTAGCACCGTAACCGACCAGTAATCCGAGATTACCGAAGGCCTGCAGAACAGTAGTACAGTAAAACAGAGTACAGGGCCTGGCGGAAGCCAATACAGATATTAAATAGTGTCCATTGAGCTGTGGCAGTCTATATGCCAAAAAGATTTTTCATACATTTATACATAAACAGTTCAGAACAGTATGCACAGTATTTGCAATCATCAGACTAGGGACTCAATCCCTGTATGACAGTACCGTAAACATTCAGTCTATACAGAACAGTAAGAAAGTACAGAAGGGGGAATTCTAAAACATCCCAAAGCCATGGCAGTAGGCTCGGAACCTCGCAGTAAGGCACATAGGCTGGCTTGACAAAACTGGAGTCTAACCCACGCTTCTAGCTCCGATCTGGTGGCTGAGCACCTACATATATATATGAGCAGTGAGCTAAAGCCCAGTGAATAACATAATGCCTAAAGAGGTTTAGAATGAAATGTCCTTACAGTAATGAAAGCAGTTCATTAAACAATACTTCAATCTTTCAGTCAGAACAGTTATTCAGTCATATGTGGTACATCCATTAGCATGGCAGTAAACAGTAGGTCTTAAAGACCGAACAGTACTGATGGCCATCAGTCAGTAAACAGTAGTGGTTCCACGAGAGAACTGATAGAGATCTCTGTAACAGTATAACAGTAACAGTAAACAGTGGGTGCTAAGGATGCCACAATACAGTTTAGAATATAGGACATGCATTCATTCAGTTAACAGTAGACAATTCAGAAAACAGTACAGTTCAATTGTTCGGAAGATAGTCATTTTTGAACATATCTTTACACAGTTGTTACTCACAGAGTTTGGGCTACAGTGTGCTAGAGCGTGTCTCCCCAGTCGCCAACCCTACACAGTTCACAGGTTGAACACACACTAAGCTACACAGTTGGGAAATATCATAACATAATCCCTAATTTGCCTCGGTGTGTTCTACATCTATATCCCCAACAAGATGTCTTAAACTAGGCCTAATCATGCCTAGAATGGGATGAGGATGCAAAGATGTACTCAAAAAGCAGTTTCAGAATGTTCAGAAAAACAGAGTCCCGCTCGAGCGCATGTGCACCCGCTCGAGCAGACACGCAACAATGGTATACGCTCGAGCGTAAACTTTCCCGCTCGAGCGTACTGTAAAAGTACTGGATGGGTGAAATCTCCGCTCGACGCCCGCTCGAGCTTGAGACATGACTCCGCTCGAGCGCCCAATCCTCCGCTCGAGCGGACTGCAAAACAGTGCAGAGATACTGGATGCTCGGATTCCCCGCTCGAGCGCCACTTTCCCCGCTCGAGCGGAAGTGCAAAATCTGGGAATTTCAAATTGCACCTCCAAGCCAAAAACCAAGTTCAAAAGCATCCAAACCAATCCTCTTGGGCCCATTTTTCTGGAAAACATTTATAAACACATAGAATATCATAGTTCAAAGCTCAATTTGAGAAATCAAAGCCCAAGGGTGTTTAATTCAACCTCAATTTCAAACACAATTTCATACACAATATGAACACGCAAACATGCATGAATTCAATCATTTGGAAGTTCCAATTTGATGCTCTAAGGAGCCAATTGATCCAAAAACAAGTTGAAAAACATGGACCATTACAAATTATGAACATGCATGTCCCATTTCACCATGGATTCAACTCAAAACTCATCAATTCAAACATGCATGCATGAATTATGCTCTATTCAACATGTATGAACTAAAACAAGACTAACTCTATAATTTAACATGGACCATGCAAGAATTAGTTCAAACAAAATTAAAAAGATGAAATTCATACCTAGGTTCCTTGAATGCAAGTCTAGAGGTTCAATTATGCACTCAACCTTCAAGTTCTTCAATTAGCAAGCAAAACCCAAGATGGAAGACAAGTTCTCTCACTCTCTCCCTCTCTTGGTCGGCTAGAGCAAGAAAAAGGCTAGGAAAATGTTTGTTTCAATGAGTACAAGGCTCTAGTATGATATACTAAAGGGCCCACTAGCAATGGCAAGATGGTAGATAAATCAAACTATGCAATTGATCAATATTTAATCTAATTTAATCATACCTAACAGTTTTCAGATAATTACACCATAAAATCACATAAATTATGATGATCATAAAAACATCAACCAATTCCCGATTCGGCCGCCGATAAGGCCTTCAATTTAGCAGTTTAAAACGTAAAACACGAAACAATCGAATAATCAATCAAACAGATAGAATACAAATTAACATACACGCTCAGCAATTAATTCCAGATTCCAGTCAGTCAGTTCAGTACTTTAAAGTCCAATTATCAGTCATAAATCAATTCAGTTTAACGGTAAATGATGGTTATCAGTAATCAATCAAGTCATTAATCGGTAAACAGTATGAGGGTTGTTACAATTGCCCTTTCTCTTGGTCCATTTGGTCTGGCTGTTTTATCTGATGGGGATCAATTGTGCACTCATACTCCTGTAGCAGACTTATTTAACTGGTGAATGAGTAAGAAGTTGTTAGGGGCTTAATTACCAAATTTTGGAGAGCCATTCCTTTTGTTGTTCATTTGGTATAATTTGGAAAGCAATAGGAAATGAGTGTGTATTCTCCAAAAAAAAATAATGCCTCC